TTTTGAGCGAAATCAGTTTCGCAAATATCGCGAACTGAGATATGGGCGATTTTGTTCATTTTTTTGCGATTATTTGAACACAGAATCCATGTAGTTAGGTAGATACTGAGCTGATAATCATAGAGTATGTGTAGTATAGGCTTACTTTCCATATAAAGTTGGTTTCATTCAAAAATATTGATCAAATTTGGTGCGTATGCCCAAATATGGTCATATGGTTTTTGGCTCATAACTCAGTCATTTTTTGTCTAATCTTGATGAAAATTCATATAATACGAGTTCAGGGGACCACTAGCTACAAGTAGAGCTGGTTTTTGGGCATGTTCAGGCTAAATTGGGCCTAATTTGGAGACCAAATATGGGCGTGGCTGCCCGCGGGCACCGTTTGGCGGTTGGGGTTCGGGACCCCCTCAAAAGTTCGGTCACCGGTCCTAGTTTGTTGGTCAACTGCTATTCAGTTCACCCTGACTCAAAAATCAGGGTGAACCCCCCCCCCCCCCCCCCCCCCCCCCCCCCCCCCCCCCCCCCCCCCCCCCTTAAAAAGAATGGTATCAGGCAAAGAAATGAGCTATTAGATAATGCTCTTTTCCTTCTTCAAGACTAAACGTAGTACATCAGTAGAAGCGTTTTCAAATAATGTTGGTCTTCTCAGTTATAACGTGGATTGCAATTTAATATTACATTTTTAAACGGCCAAGTTTTAAAGGATGTTCATCAAATTTTTCCATAGATGCTACGTTTAAACAAGAGCCTTTTAAGTCCTCTGACAGAGTCACGCTTGAATGACTTAACTCTATGATCATGATTCATAGGGCGTAAAATTATGTCGAAGTGAACAATTTAAGGCTACAATTTATTTCATTATAGAAATGTCGCAAGTTTTACCTTTTTACATCATTATGAGTAAAATTACAACAGCTGAATTTTGTGGCTTACCGTCTAGGTAAATATCTAATTTGCTGTAATTTTTGCACCGTACATAGACTCTCTCCGAAATTAAAGTGTTCCCCTTCATACAATTTTAAAGTATGATTAAGCTGACCTGTAACTAGTATACTAGCCACTACTTTCTGCACAAGTACTAATCAACTCAGAGCACGAGATCTGATGAACTGTTAGCAGATTGACAGTAAAAGATGATGACACTACACTAACGAGACCAGCTGACTACACCGGCTTCTCCTTAATTGATTTCGTAACAAACTCTCTGTAAGGCTGATAATAAGCCACGTACAAGATCTGACGGATAAATAGTCCAGCAGGTTTGTTAGCAAGTTTGCTGGACAGATCTCTGTAAACATGATAGTTAAATTGAAGGAAGGACACACCCATGAGCCATGAGGGGATCACCAATAAACCTCACGTACTCGTGAGTCACATCTGCTTTATTAGTCAGATCATGCTACTTAATAATTTCAGGGAATAAGATATGACGGACGTGCAATTTAATACCCACGCGCCCGCAACACGTACAATTTATGAACTTTTGGAGCACGTTCAATACTACGCAGTACATACAATGTCAGAAGTTTACCGTAAAACCTACTGTACACCAAAAAAGCTATAAATATAGCTGTAATAATTATAAAGTAGATCTTGTGCTATCTTACACACACGTCACACAACGTCTCACATGCAACATTAATTACAAAATTATTAGATTATCTCGACTAATTAACACACCCTCTTATTCCTTCAAATCACCCATCACAGCATCCTCTCAGGCAGTGTGGCATAATGGGAATTTAGCAGACGGAACTTTTAATATTGAAGATTTGGTAAATGCTGCCAAACTAGAAGCTCGTAATTAGCTTTAATATACAGGTGGACGACAGTTATTATAATAATATCGGACATATGTAATAATGTACATAGTAATGATGCCGACAATTAGCTAATAAACAGGTCATGTGACAGGATGGTCGATGTGCCGCTACACTATAACTTTCTCGCGGCAGTGAGAACATGTTTCTCACGTTTAATGGAGCCTGTAATAAACGTACACACCGTGCTCCTCCTTCTTCGACAGACAGACACCCCACATACATGACAGCGTGGTGTGGGGCAGTAGCAGCGGCCATTTGACACTTTAGTTAGAGCTAAAAAGGAGCACAAAGCTAGGTCGCAAAAATAAAAGATGACAATTGTAAAAGTTTTATTATCACGTCGCCCCACTATAAAACATGTGTGCAATATATGTCAAATATATAGATTATATATTTATATATAATATGAGTATATTTTTAGATAGCAGAGACGGTCAATGAATTTCAAGCCTGTCCAAGGATCAAGCTCCTTATATGGCTTAAATGTAATGAAAGCATTGTCAAAGAATCCGGTGTCAGTGGTAACCTCACAGTATTGAGCTGTTTTATGATCATAGCGCTCGGTTCGATAAGTTGATATGTTTCTTTGAATAGAAAGAGAGAGAGGGAGAGAGAGGGAGAGAGAGAGAGAGAGAAAGAGAGAGAGAGAGAGAGAGAGAGAGAGAGAGAGAGAGAGAGAGAGAGAGAGAGAGAGGAGAGGAGAGAGAGAGAGGGAGAGGGAGAGGGAGAGGAGAGGAGAGGGAGAGGGAGAGGGAGAGGGAGAGGGAGAGGGAGAGGGAGAGGGAGAGGGAGAGGGAGAGGGAGAGGGAGAGGGAGAGGGAGAGGGAGAGGGAGAGGGAGAGGGAGAGGGAGAGGGAGAGGGAGAGGGAGAGGGAGAGGGAGAGGGACTAAAACAACTGATCACAAAACTGCGTGGGTTGTTAAGTGGACCGTTTACCAGCAGTTAGTGGTAAGCAAAATCGCTCCAGTTTATATCGAGGTTGACAGGTCAAAATAAAACCAGTACTTTGGGAGAACTAATTAATATTCGCCCGGTGCCGATTCGAAGAAGATGGATATTAAAAAAGAGTTACTCCAATTTATGGTATTGTTAAGGAGCCCAACAGCGCAAGAACATCAAGTTTGATTCATAACTTATCCCGATTGCCTCTCTCAATCTTCGTCGCATTACAATCATATCTATTTTAAACCTTCCATAAACAGACCAGTGGGGACCAGTATTTACAATGCAGTGGACCTTATTTTAAGTAGCTGCCTCTTTTAGAAGTAAACGGATCCCTCATAAAATCGGTAATATTGCCAAGATAAACATGGTTTGCTTACTTTTCAGGAATCAACATACTCAATGCTAAGATACTTGAACAAAAGTATTTAAGAACGTGACGTGTACTCGAGATTTTGGGGTTAAATATATCGGTATAAAATAAAATTCTGGTGGACTTTTGATGTAATTCTTGCCTTTAAAACTAAAAGATCTCTTAAAATAATCATTTCAGATATATAATATAATATTATGTAAAAAAAGCGACAAGTAGTAGTACAGTACGTTCCATTTAAAATAAATACTGAAATAAAATAAAATTCGGCATATTTAACGGTTGGATACTCACAATATAATACAGTTTATGAATGGAGCTCAGATCATTTTGAGAACGTCGGGATGGTTTGAAAGAGGGACAGACTGGGGAGTAATGAACTTTTACGTCAGGGTAAAAGTAATGCATTAATGGTAAGTTGGTTAAGACGAATATTATTTTACGTGGCAAAAGCAAGTTGTAATATTGTGGTCACACTTGTAGTAAAGTGAAGAGTCTTACTTATGAGTACTCACAATTAAAGAAATATTCTAGGAAATATGGAATAATTTATTTGAATGCTTTCAAACAGAACAAACACTGAATATGCTTAAAATTCGAGCATACAGATCATTTCTACATTCTTTTTCGTGTTTTGTTATTCTAGAAATTCTCATAACTACAATCTGCCCATCTTTGGGCATTTGGTAGATCCTCCAAAGCCTAAGTGGAGGGCCTTTCATACTTTCAGATAAGGTCCGTAACAAACAGTATTTTCTTGAAATACAACTCTCTCTCTCTCTCTCTCTCTCTCTCTCTCTCTCTCTCTCTCTCTCTCTCTCTCTCTCTCTCTCTCTCTCTCTCTCTCTCTCTCTCTCTCTCTCTCTCTCTCTCTCTCTCTCTCTCTCTCTCTCTCTCTCTCCTCTCTCTCTCTCTCTCTCTCTCTCTCTCTCTCTCTCTCTCTCTCTCTCTCTCTCTCTCTCTCTCTCTCTCTCTCTCTCTCTCTCTCTCTCTCTCTCTCTCTCTCTCTCTCTCTCTCTCTCTCTCTCTCTCTCTCTCTCTCTCTCTCTCTCTCTCTCTCTCTCTCTCTCTCTCTCTCTCTCTCTCTCTCTCTCTCTCTCTCTCTCCTCTCTCTCTCTCTCTCTCTCTCTCTCTCTCTCTCTCTCTCTCTCTCTCTCTCTCTCTCTCTCTCTCTCTCTCTCTCTCTCTCTCTCGATTAGCTGATAATTCGTGACTACAGTTTTTAAAACTATTATATAATATACATATTATAATATAGATCCAACCATATAAACGGATTTAATAGATTTATTAGGTGGTATTAACATAATTCGTACGGACTGAAAGATATCTATAATATCCGTATGAATGATAACATCGGTTACTGTGACTAACAAAATAACTCCTCTTTCAATTAGCATGCAATCGGTTTTATGTGGTATTTATTGTACAGATCAAAGTTAGAGCTTTAGGCTCCATAAGTTTCATGACTCCATTATTCACTGAACTTGAGATGTATTTCACAAATTATCAGTCTTAAGCGTGCAGGAGACATGGTATAGCTCAGAGCATGTTTAACATTTTAGAGCCTGGATCAGATCATATTTGCGCAAAATTACAGCAATTTCCAAGGTTCTACTATTCCAAAACAACGTATTATGAGCTATTGAAAATAGTATTATAACGTTGAGCCCAAATTTGAAGACATTTTTGTACCATAAATTTCAAAATCCGGGAAACTAAATTAATTATGTTTACCACTTACAAATATTATATATATTATGATCACCTTATGATTATGTGCAATTTGAATAAAAGTAACGTTAAAAAGTTACGCAGCCTTTTCATCAATTACAGATTTGAATAAAAACAAAATTACCTGTAAGATATGAAGGTAGCAGCATTAGGGTTTAGTGTCAGTGTGGTAGACTGAAAAATAGAAAAGCATCAGAACATGATTTGAGGTATTACTATTATATAACATAATAGTATGTAATACTTAAGTCATAAAAACTAGTAATATGTTAGCTAGAAAATATATATATATTTTAAATCTACTAGAAACTTACATTGTTTAAAATGTCAGCACTTGAGCTTTCTTTCATTGATTATCTGAAAAGTAGAAGTGGGTAAACCTTTTGTTTTGCTTTAATGGATAAATCCAACACTATTAAGAAAGAAACCAACATTTACAGTTTAGGTGCAGAACAAGTTATATTCATTCAGCAAATCAAGAATAATAATGTATCAACTTACATGGGCAGAAGCTTGTAGCTTGCACTGACTATAGTCTTCAAACTGTAACTAAAGTTTTCCATACAGAAATTTCAGCAAACATGCTATGTCGATTGATGACTGATCAACTAAGAAAATTGAAGAGTGAGAAAATTAACAAAAATTGGACTGGGTATAATGAAAATTGTGAACGGGGGTATGCAGCTAACTTAGGTAAAGTTAAATAAGTAAATCCACACTGTTTCTTTTCTTCAGATGATCCTGAATCTGTGCACCCACTAGTGTGAGTCCAGTAACCGACTTTTCTGTCTCATAGTCCAAAAAGACAAGTGGCAAAGCCAAATTGACAAAATTCTTAAAACAATCTTCTATACGATCTAGGGAATCCTCCTCAAACACATCAGAGAGCTGCTTCCTGGACGAGTTATCTTGAAGGTATGAATCATCCCTGCCATCGACCTGTCACGGTGGGTGGCGCCACTATTCAGTGAGCTGTTATCTAACAAACTCTTTTTACACCTCCACAGTCCGCAATCATCTGACCCCTCCGCAATCATCTCACTTCTTTGAAGTAAAGCCGCAAAAACATGTCAATAAAAACAAAGTCAAGATATGGGAACTGTGTGAAGATTGAAGATATAATTATAAGGAAAATAGTAGGAAAATATTGCGACAATAAATCATGAGGTTTGCAACAATGGGAAATATTACCTTTTATTAAGGATTTTAACAAACTTTAACTTTTCAAACATACAACAGTACAATATTCTTATTACAACACTACACATATACATATATATCAAATTTATTAAGGACGTTACAGAAGGTATACATTTAATGTAGTCCGAGAAGTCCTCACTCCTCACTCTCTTATTAATCTTGAGTTTATAGACCTTTTTGTTAGAAAACAGTGAGTTAAAGTTTAACCACATAGTTGTTCTTACAGTAAAACTTGTAAATCTTAGACCCCAAGTGATGCAATGAAATCGCTCCGGAAGAAACGACTTCTGAAAATACTTTATCATAGTTCAGAGACAACATGTAGGATGTAGGTGCAGTTTTATTTGCAAATAGTGCGATTCCGTACCTGCCTAATTCCTAAACACTAAAACTTTTTTATGTGCGGCAAATTTTGAGACAAACAATATTGCAATTTAGGTGAAAAATAAACCAAATTTGCAGCCTTTAAGTGCATAACTAGAACTACTATACGTCTTTAAAAAATCAGGAAAAACATATACAGAAAGTTAACTAGTATTATTATTATCAAATAACAAATTGATAATGCATTGAATTTTGATACTATCGATATTTGATTAAAAAACAAAAGAGGGTGAATCTTGTAAAATTAAAAACTGATCAAGCTGGATCGCAATTCCTCATCGGATTGAAACTGAGTCTGCACTTTAGGTTATACACATGTTAGCTTATAATATACATTACACACAATATGTTGGAATATTATATTGTAAAGTTATATAACAAATAACACCTTGGCTAAAAGTATTGCACGTAGCACTCAACAACGTATTATTACATTTTTAAACCTTCTGTGAGGGTGCTTCTATAGACTATCCAAAATCCATCGTAACCTTTCATTTAATATTTTTGCAAAAATGATGAACAGAAAAATTTTCTGAGCTATTGGTAAATTTATTGTTGTTCTGAGGTACAGTGGCTGAGGCAAGCATGATTTGAATTTATGACTCCATTAGGTCCATTTTTGTCCCAAGCGTCTAGCGAAACAAGTTTAGGTGAATAAAGTTTGAAATTCTATCCTATACATTATGCAACAAAAATTTAATAAGAATTAATAAAGCTACCGTCGATCGTTCAAAAAATTAATTTAATAAAATATAATTTCTAATCCTTGTTATGACCTAAGCTGCACATTTTACCAAATAATTCATCAAATAATGGTTACAGTTTACTCAAAAATAAAATGCGAAAACAACACCATGATATGCTCTATCAAATGGATTGGAAATATCTAAATTTATGCATGCAAATGGTTAAAATCATTAATCATCATCATCTATTTGCAATTTACAATTGAGTGCGCACCACATCTTATAGTATTGTATAGTACTATGCTTACAGTGCAGTTATACAGTACCCTACAATGTAGATGTACTGAAGGGGTACCCTAGTAAGATTAATTTCCGTTCATTTATCCCCAAATCACGGTTTTCCGAATATTCGGCTGAGTTGACCGAGGAGACAGTATACATGACACAGATGCGTATCTTTGCATGGATCCAACAGATCTTTAGCAACCTCCTTAGACTAGGTGAGACTGGGATTCGAACCCTTATATGTTGTAACTTTTTTTTTTGCTCAAAATTATTCAAACAATATACACATAATATAACAATAACCCTATATAAAATTTCTATATAGAAATTCAATAAAAAATCTTAGAAAATTTCATAAAAACCCTTTGGTGTACAGTAGTATAAGTAGCCAATTCAATTTGTTGGCTCTAAATTAATATTATATATATCTAAATCTGATATCTTAACTATACTACCACTTTTGTAAATGTACCCTGGAAAGAAATATTTATTTATATTTACCATTTACTTTACACTTTACAATAACAACCAAAGTGGAATTTGATGGCGATTAAGCTAACAATTATTTCAATCATAGTGCAGATGTAAATTACAATTTATGCTATGGTTAGAAAAAACTCTCCCATGGTAAGTTTCAGTATTAGTTTATGTAATAAGCGCCATCAGTTGGCACAAAATTTTGTCTCCGATATTGATAAATTTGACTGGTACCAACAGTTGTCTAAAAATATGAATAAAATAATTCCACCGTGCAGCAATTTTTGCTAACAGCTAAGGTCAAAGGTGCAGGTTACATTTTCACCGAAATTAAAGCACATCCAATTCGATAAGTATGAAATATGTTTTATATAACTTGCTTGATTTTGCACTAATTTGGTGTTTAGCGACCAAAATTGCAAAAGATTTTTATCACGTTTCATAAAGTTTGAAAGAAGTGACCAATGAAACAAGAAATTTTTTCAATGAAACAAGAAATTTAATTTTAGCACATTTTACAGAATAAAAAGATGTAAAACAATTCATAAAATATAATGCCCATTTGGTGTATGACTTTTTGTCCTTGACTGCTTGTTTGGTTTTGGAAGGACAGGTAACTAACGGGGCAAGGAATGCGCGTGCCTGGGAGCTTTTGCACACACCAAAACGCTAGTTCAGTTAAGTTTTTAGAGACAAGGCTCACATTAGGACTATACGAAAAATTGTTAGCAGACATTAGGGGTTCTGTTTAAAGTTTTTACTATCTAGGTTGCAGTCTTGTTGTGACAAAAAGTCTACACTAAAACATGCTTGATTTTATATTGTGTAGTTCAAGGATTAAAAATGCACCTTCAAGGTGGATATTGGAGAGCAGGCGAAAGATTATGGCTTAAATTTATCAATGGTTATAATAAGCTATAAATATTTTAAACTATACAATGCTAATTAAAAATTTCTTTATACTTCTTTCTCAAATTAAAATTTAAAAATTCAAAAATATACATTCATTTTATTAAAACTTTCTCACACGTACTTTACTTACAGGACAAGACTTGGAAAACAGTAGCCTAGGGTAATTTAATTTAGATGTGTGTGACCAGCCAGTTATAATGTTTGGAAAATAATATTTGTGCAGTCAAAGTCTTTTACGGTCCAATCAAGCAGGGCGTGGTTATGTTGATTAGCTAGTAGCGCACGTTTTAGCTTTCCTCGCAAGCACATTACACTAGTAGTAAAATCAGTCATTCTGAACTTTGGGGTTAAGATGTTAAAAATTTTGGTTGATCTAGTGTTGTGATTGTCAGGTGGGTCTGCCTGACAGATTAGAAGGCAGGGTTTCCTTGATGAACATGTGTAACCCTCATGTAAGGATATTGGAGCACGGAATTTCATTATCTTGTAGAGCTCGAGGTAACTGTGGTATGTATATAGATTTTGTATAGCTAGAATATTATTATGCTTGAATGTCGGTTTGGTGTGCTCTTTTATGAAGAATTTTTGGTCTAGTTTCTGGTGTCCTATAGGCCTAGTACGTGCACAAGTCTTAAGCTTATCAAGGTACGCCAGTCTATCACCAAATAGTACTCTGAGACAGTACTTCTGAGCAGTAAATAATGAGCTTATACGTTGCTTCGCTGCCCCACCCCATACAGATATACAGTAGGAAAGATGTGATTCGAACAGGGTATAATATAATTGTTGGTGTAGAAATTCTGGAAGGGAGCAGCGGAGTCTACATAAAGTGGATGTGGAATGATTTAGAGTTCGCTTAAGAGCTTTGATGTGATCTTCCCATGATAGGTTCTCGTCAATTATAACACCCAGAAATTTTGCGGATAAAACCTTTTTGATTGGAAAGTTGTCTATAGTTAGTGCAACTTCAGGGTGTGATAAAATCTCTGATTTAGAACCTGCCATGGTGGGTTTGAAGTGTATGTAGCAGCACTTGGATATGTTTATATGTAATTTATTCGCTCTCATATAAGACTGTAATGATGACAGAAGCTCATTTCCTCGTTCATATGCCTCACGTTTTGTTTTGCCGACAACAAATATATTGGTATCATCAGCAAAGGTAACAAATGATCCTAGTTTAGAACTGTTTGTGATGTCGTTCATATAAAGAAGAAATAGGAGAGGTCCAAGAATTGAACCCTGCGGGACACCAAATTGAATAGATAGGGTATCTGATTTTTCTCCTACAACTTCGGTGTATTGTTGCCTGTTTGTCAAGTAGCTTTTTATGAGGTTATTTGCAACTCCTCTCACTCCACATCCCTCTAATTTTATAAGAAGTGTTGAATGATCGATGGTGTCAAAAGCTTTGCTTAGGTCAATGAATATTCCTAAAACATGATTCTTAAGTTTAAGAGATTTCGTAATTAAATCTACAGAGTAATTAACTGCATGGGATGTAGAGTGAGATTTCCTAAATCCAAACTGTGTCTTCGATATAACTCCCTGGGAGCTAACAAATCCGTATATTCTAGAATATATGAGCTTTTCAAAGATCTTACCGAAGACGGACAGTGTGGAGATAGGACGGTAGTTCTCGATTTCTTCTGGGTTACCTTTCTTA